CTCCACAGCTGCGGCAGCGACTTCACGCTCTGCTCCTCCGCCAGCCCTCTCCACCAGGAAACAGCTCCTTGAGGGGAATGTGTGTGTTTTTTGACTATGTATGTTTTGAAATAAAACAGAAATATCTCTGAAAGTAAAGTTTCATCTGAGACTGTCAGATCAGCTGAGCTCACAGCTACCTCTTTTCACACATTCCCCACACAGAACGAGCCAGTAACCTCTAAACAGTGTTTTTAATGGCACCACAGTTCAATAAATATCACAAACACTTGTCTGCCACATCAGCTAAAATTATGTTTTTTCAGCAGACCGAGTCCAGTAAAATTCCTCGTTTTCAGCCAGAGCCCGTTTTTAATTTCTGCTGTTTTCTGCCCACTCACAGCGCAGCGGGAGTAAACGTGTTTTCTCCATGACAGATGCAGCCTCCACCGAAACAGCGTCTCACTCAGAAAGCGCTCATGCCTCCTCTCAGTGCGCGCTGGCTCACCTCAGCTCTATGCTGTGAGACCGCAGCCTGGGCTCAGCACAGAGGCACACATATAGCCTTTTTTTCTGTTGGAGCCCCCCTTGGGTTCCCCCCAGAAAATCTCCAGAGCGAGTGATGGCAGTAAGGTTTTTTTAGTCTGGTTGACGTTCATGAGAAACATGACACAACACAAATGTGTGCCCGCTCTCCAAGCATTACTCAGAGTGGCAGCGAGTGTGTTCCCTGGACAGATGGATGGACTGTCTGATCAGCAGGGGTTACACGTTACACTTCGCAGCTCAACCCCCACCCTTCAAAGGGATTATAGAGACGGTTCTGTCTTCTCCATAACAGAGCTCGTCTCTCCAGTCAGAAGTTCAGGAATTTCTGACGAAAAACGTGATTTCCAGAGTTCCCAACGGAGAGGAAAAGATGTTTTTTTTTCCTCCCACTACTTCCTGGTTCTGATAAAAAATGGAGGGATGAGACCCATTCTCGACCTGTTCATGTTCAGCAATTCAATCATGGGGAGACAATTCCACATGCTGACAAACAGCTGCTGGAGAACTTCACCAGAACAACTGGTTTTCACCTCCATAGATTTGATAAGCACATATTTTCACATTTTCCATCATTCTGAAAACCCCACGCACGTTCTTGAAATGCATGGAGACGGCTCTGCAGTCCTTACACATGGCAGGAATGAAAATTATTTTTATCTGAACGATCTGCTTTTATTAGCTTGGTCCAGATAGGAAGCAGTCACACAGACCAAAACGCTAGTGTTACACCTGGGGTTTTCTATAAACTCGGAAAAAGTTCCGTTTGTCCGTCCCAGATGATTGTTTATCTGGAAGTGGAGCTAAACTCAACCACAATGAGAGCCCGCTTATCACAGCTGAGAGCCGAAGCTCTGTCAGCTCAGCTCGGCCGTGTCAAACCCTGCAGCATAGTGCCAGTCTGGCTGTCATGCGACTCCTGGGACGATGTCAGCTGCTCACATAGTGGTTCTGCTGGGCCTACTTCACATGAGACACCTTCAGAGATGTTTTGCCAGCCTGCGCATAGATCCTGTGCACCAGAAGAGGCGGATTATCTTTGTGCCCCCCTCCGTGTGAACTGATATGTATCACTGGGGAAACCACCTCATTCTGTCAGAGGGAGTTCCCATCAGCAGGCCTACGTCACACGTCTCAGTTTTCACAGACATGTTCCTGTCAAGCTGGGAGGAATCTGTCTGTCCCAGGCAGTGGGAGCACAGTGGCTGGAACACATGTCGCTTCACATAACTGTGCTAGAATGTTTTCACGGTCTGAAACGTGACTCAGCATTTTGCCCCCCTGATGCGGGATCAGCATGTTCTGATCCACACAGACAACAAAGTGACGGCAGTTTACATAAACCGTCAGGGAGACGTGCGCTCAGCCCAACTGTTATGCTTCGCAAAACAGCTGTTGTGTTGGGCACACATTAACCTGCTCTCCATCAGAGCAATGTACATTCCCAGCGTCCTGAACAGAGGAGCGGATATCATGTTGAGGGGCGATCCCCGCCACAGACACTGGAGCCTCCATCCCAAGCTGATCTCTTGGATTTGGAGCAGGTTCGGCTGAGCAGCAGTGGATCTGTCCGCCCCACGGGAGAACGCCCAGTGTCAATTATGCTTCTCACTGAGCCCATGAGACGACCCACCGTTAGGAGTGGACGCCTTCGTTCACAGCCCGTGGCCAAAAATGCTCCTTTATGCACTTATATCAAAGTGGACAGCTTTTCAGCGCTGGTGCACGGTGAAAGGTGTAGAGGCCATCTCATGTCCACTAGGTGGCATGCTGTCCTTTCTGCAACAGCTGATGGACAGAAATCTAGCATTCAGCACAATTAAGACTTATGCTGCAACTATTTCTTCCTGTCACGAGGGCTCCGGTGACAGAATAGTTTTTGATCACCCGTTGATGAAGCGTTTCTTGAAAGGTGTACGGAGACACATCCACTAGCTCCACAGTGGGACCTAACGATGGTTCTGCGCACTCTGATCAAAGCTCCTTTTTGAGCCTTTAGATCAGGTTTCACTTAAATTCCTGTCACTTAAAACAGCCCTGCTGTTGGCTTTGACATAAGCAAAGAGAGTTAGCTATTTATCTGCACTCTCTGCTGCCCCGTCATGCCTCAGGATTCAAGCTGATGGCAGCTCAGCTGCACTGAGACCTAACCCAGTTTTCATACCAAAAAAACATCACAAGCTCATTTAAATCAAAAATGATAACCTTGGAGGGGTTTTATCCTCCTCCTCACAATTCAGAGGAGGAAGCATAATCTCACCACCTCTGTCCCGTGTGCGCGCTTGCATGTTATATAGCACGCATGGCCCCACTGCGTTATTATCAGCATCTGTTTGTGCATTACAGGGACACTTCTATAGGTTGCCCTTTATCCACTCAGCGCCTCTCACACTGGTTGTGTGAGGCTATTTCTGAAGCTTACAGAGCATCAGGACTGGACCCTCCAGAGAATCTCAGAGCTCATTCCACCAGAGGAATTTCATCCTCTACATCTTTGCATGGAGGGATGACAGTGGA